CAAAAAACAAGAATAAGCTGGCGAAGACAACCATTGCACAAGCCATCTTACCTCTATTGTCTAAGAATATCCCTTTTTTTTTTATTTCAGAAACCAAATATTGCCCATATGTTGTTCATGAAGGTGGCGTACCGTTGCTGGAACAAGTTGTTAATGATAGCCGATCAACAAAACGTATGCGTGAACTTGCCAATATTGTCCTAGCAAATATCTCTGATTGGTTAATTTTTATTTTTTTAATTGCTAGTTCCTTTCCTTCTAGTTTTGATGCGTATCGATTTTGCCTTATCACAGTACGAACGAAAAAAATCGCATACTATAGACGAAATAAAAAGGGAACCCTTTAATTATGCAAGAATGAGGAAAATCGAGGTAGTGGGAAGATCGCTTATGTAAAAAAAAAAGTTAAAACGAAAAATCCCTCTTTACCTCATACTTTGCGCAGTGGGAAGAGGTATGCGGAAGTACTTCACTCTGGCATTCCTCGATACTGCCTAGTCACCACGGTGACAGTGTTTGAGTTAAAATTTTGGGGCAAAATTTTTACGGGGCCGTACATGCTGCCCGCGGGAAAGGGAAGCTTGAATTTAAATTTTCTGGGTCGTGCGTAGGCAGGGGACATACCCATAAAATTTCAGCTTCCTAGCTTCTGTGGTTCCCGAAGCTGATCTCCTCCGACTTCCTAGTCTTCTCCTTGTCCCCTAACTCTCTCTCGCTCGCCTCCTCGCTTCTCCCTGCATCCCGTGGTGCTTGTTGCTCAGCATGTTTTGATCGAAGTCTGGACATGTGTTCTTCAATTACTGAAATCAGTACTAATTAAAAGCAGCGAAAACATTGATTCAGAGGTGCTAGTCGAATTTTTTGGCGGGAAAGCTATCTCGAGGGGGCAGAACGGCTAGAAAGCTGAAACTTTATAGGGATATTCTCTGTGCATTGACTGGAAAGCGGACGACGGGGGGAGGGGGTGGGGTTATTTAAACTTTTGTGTGTATAATGGTTATTTTAACGTTAGACGCTGAGCAAAGATTTTTTTTGATATTTCTCTAAGAAAATACATTGTTTTTTTTTCTTTTGTGCCAACATTTAAAAAAAAAGCTTTCGTTTCTTAAAAAACCTTATTTTTTTAGGGATTCTATGACGCAGTGAATGGTCGCCAAATTTGCATTTACTACAATGGCAGAAGTAATTTTTACGAATTTTTTTTTGCGGTATAATCATGGGAGCCGTAAAAATCACTGTGACATGCTTGTTGCGCATTCACTTTTTTCTTGGTACGTATAATAGGATTTTGCTGAAAAGCTGTGATATACTTATCAGTTATTATTATTATTTTTAAGTATTCGTTTGTATGTAATCCCAGCATCAATCACATTCATTTATTTTACGGTTATTTTTTTTTTTTAAAAGTACCCTGCATTTTTTAACAAATGTTAAAATTGACATTTAGAATAATAATTTTTATAAAAATTGGCTGAATATTTGATCCGAAATCGCTTTTTGTGGATAGTAAGAGATACATGTGGCTCAGGATGGATGGAAGAATTTGGTGTGTAGCTACGTCCAGTATGCAGGAACACATCTATAACCATTGGTGGATCCAGACGGGGGGGAGGGGGGAAGCAATATGTCCCTCGTCAACGACATAAGTACAGGTAGCAGTGCTAAAAGTGAACAAAACTCTCTTCCGCACCCCGTCACTCCTTCCCCTTGCCTCCTCTTCTCTCCCGAAGTCCCATCCCCGCCCTCCCTCTTTTCCGGCCATTTTCCGCTAGGGCCGATGGACGGCGGAGATAGCAGGACAGCCGAGAAGGGGGGAGAGTGAGGCTTCCGACTTACTGACAAACGAGAGGGGGAGGGGGAAAAATCCCCCCTCCTCCCCCCCTCTCCGCTCCTGAAAACTGTTCTGGATCCACCTATGCCTCTAACATCGCTATCATGGAATATTCATACGTGTTATCCTAATGGCCTTGATATTTTTAATAATCTGAAAATTAAGCAATTGTCCATTTGCTCTTGGCTTCCTGGGCAAACTGAAAAATTGACGACGCATGAGGTCTTGTATTAG